CTGGTTTGCAGATTAGAAAAATTGAGCAAGCTTTCGTTTTCACCCTTAGTGCAGAATACCATTCTCTTTGGATCCTGGCTGGCCTAGATCCTTCATGTCCCTCCTGATGTAGGTCATTGATCTCGCCTCTATCAATAAATCCTGTTTTCCCTTTATACTTGTAGCAGCAGCTCCAATGGCACAGTCAAGGAGCTATCCAGAGGGAAGGCAGGATTGGTCCTGCTCATAGGACTGGTTGTCTCAGTGTGGTACAGAGCAAGGCAGTTGCTGCTCCCCTGTTCTGTTACCATCCCTGCCTGTTGTCCAAGCAGGGCAAGAAGCTGCAAAGGGATGTTCAGGTCTGGGTTATGCTGGCCACAACAGCACACCCACAGTAACAGAGATGAGAATTTGCCCTCGTGCAAATTAATCTGAGATACATCTGTAGATATATTGAAAGATAGACAGAGATCTGAAACATATCCATATAGAATTAAAAGAGACCCAGGGCTAGAAAAACCCTTTGGTCCAGCCTAGGACCTGTTTAAGTCCTAAAGAGAAGGCAGTTTCCATCCCATATCCTGTCAAGAAAAGCCTGAAAATATGGTTTGATTTCAGCTAGTCTGATTGCTGTGTGAAGAAATCCGTTTGGCCTCTTGCCTCCCTTTCCCAAGTGATGGCAGTCCCTTCAGTGGCTGCTCTTGTACCAGCTCCAGGCAGCAGTTCAGGCCAGCCGGCTGTAGCCGGAGCTTGTACCGAACTATTTGGGCAGGGTTTGCTGCCGTGGCTTCTGCTCGAGGCAGGGCACATGCCTATTGACCGCCTGGAGGGAGCTCAGCTGAATTTTGATTGGCTTCATGGAGGTGTGCAATAAATAATTAACTTCCAAACCATAGTTTTATCATCTGCTCAGCTGGATCAGACCAGTTCTGGGAGTGTTATGGGCCAACCACTGAGGAGCAAACTTTGTGCTAAATATCCTGCATCACACATTCGGAAAATGTACGATGGCAAGATGGTTTGAAAGGACCATTCTCCTTTTCTAGCAGGGAGAGGTTGTTAATGTTATTAGCTTGAGAAATAGATGGGGTTTTTTTTCCCCTCTCTTGTTTTTTCTCCCCTTTTTTTTTTTTTTTTTTTCTTTCCCCTACTGTGTGCAGCTCTCCTGAACTTGGAGCTGAACTGGAATTGCTCGCATTGTCACACGTCTTATTTAATTGTGCAAATTGCTTTCTATTCCGAGGACAAGTTAATGTAGAAATGGAAAGGATTAGAACCATTGGGATAAGTGATCGCTCTTTCTTTTAATTTTTGGTGTTAGCATAACAATAGCTACTATTTCAAAAGCAGTCCCTGGCTCTGCCCTATCGCCCTTTCATGCAGGGAAAATGCTCATGTAGGGCCTGCGTCTCCCCTGGGATAGATCCAAAGTCCGTTAATCGTTAGGAATCATCCATAAATCAGTTCACTGGGCTCTGGGCTGAGGTTTCTTGTGCAAGAAAAAATAAATGGCCCCGGGTGGGAAGATGCCATCAGGAAGGAATATCCACGTCACAGGATTGGGTCTCCTTTTTAAGTCTGGCATAACACAGAAGAAAATAAATGGAAGAAAATGAATGCACACCTCCAGGTCTGTCTAAAGACAGTGCAAACGCCATAGACTGTTGTAGTAAAGCAAGCAATAAAATGGACATTATTCCAGCAGCCTTTTAACCACCTCTTAATTGAATATTAACTGTTGAATCAGTGCATAGGCTCTCCTGCTACTCGAATTATTGATCTGTAGTTTGTGTGGTTTTACAGGGTTTGTCTACTCATTGGGGTTTGGTTTTTCTGCAAATTAAAGAAAATGTTTTGTTGCTTAAGCCCATCCAATTACTGCTGTGTGTAGGCAGATGTTTTTTCAGGTCATTTGCAAAGATTGAGAGTTTGCCAAGCAAACTATTTTCCTTCCTGATTTCTGTTAATACATTCACACAATAGCAAAAAAAAAAAAAAAAAAAAAAAAAAAAACCAGGTGGAAAAATATCACACCCTTTTTTGGTGTGTTGTGTGTGGCAGCAGGAAGCTGTTGCTGTAAAATTGCAGTTTTCTTGTGTAATGTGAGATATTTTCACTTCTGCTTGATTAAACAGCAGTATGCTGCAGCATTCAGTGAAAGCATTTCTGTTGTGTCCATCATAATGGATCAAGTGAGATATCAACAGCATCAGGCACATGGGGTCCTGGCAGTGCCTGTATGCAACTCCCATTAACGTCAGTGGGGGGTTATGGATGGGTTGAGGGCAGTGCACTGCCATTAGTGTTTAATTTTTTACAGGTGAATGTTCACCTTCCATGAGTGTAGTTATACGCAAGAAAGATGGGGGAAGATAACAATTCACTACTCTCAAAGTCCAGGAGTTGCTTTACATGCCATGCATCCCCACACGCCTGTGCTTGGTTTTCCAGTAACTGGGCTGGCAAACATACTGTACGTGACTTCTCCAAATAGCGCGCTGTAAGTGTTGGAGTGACTTCATACCTGCGAAAAGAAGTGTTGGTTTTTGAAGGGACGATGTGGCTGACTTGATTTGTGCGCTGGATGGGGGAAGTACACCGATACCGTACCAACACCTGGCAGTGTTAGGTTAATGATTGGACTCGATGATCTGAAGGGTCTTTTCCAGCCTAAATGATTCAGTGACACGGGGCCAGGTCTCTGCAGCAGAAAGAAAGGTAGTTTTTGATCTGTGCTGGGCATGCCTGGCTGTGCTGGGCTCTGGTTCTCCCATGAGGTGGATCCAGGTGGGGGCTTTCGGAACCGGACCTGGCATTTCATGTGGACCTCTCTGGTTTTTGTGTGGTTTGGTTGGTTTTTGTTTGTTTTTTTTTTTGGTGTGTGTGACAACACCAGCTACAGGATTTCAGTGCAAGCCTGGTGAATGTCAATCAATTTCTTTAAATGCCTCCTGTATAACAAGTGTCTTTTCAAGGAATCCTTTACATTTCCCTCTTCTTTACACCAGCTGCAGGATTTCAGTGCAAGCCTGGTGTGAATGTCAATTAATTTCTTTAAATGCCTCCTGTATAACAAGTGTCTTTTCAAGGAATCCTTTACATTTCCCTCTTCTTTTGCTATCTAACCTCCCTCCGTGAGGCCGGTCGGAGGAGCAGATGCCCAAGCCCCGTGGTCCCATCTGGGGCTCTGCGGAGCTGCAGGGGTGGATGGTGCAGAGCTCTGCTTTCACACCCACAGCCTTGCCTTCAGCCTCGCTTGAGCCCTCTTGAGCATGTCCCCATCCTTAATGTGCTTTTCCTTGAACGCCTGCTTCTTTTGAGAGTTCATTATTTAATAGGGAAATGTAAGTGCCTGGCTGAGGGCGCAGAGAGGAGGGGAGCTGGCTGAAGGGCTGAGGTTAGCACTTTCTCCTTGGTCTGGTCTTCTTCTCACCTTTAAGTTATTTGTATGTATAGTTGGCTTCCCACACTGACTGGCACTGAACGAGTCGGGATAATGTCACGGTTGCCCACGAAGCTGTGCCAGCATGAGAGCACAACCTTGCCAGCACAGGGGCATTGATTAGTGCAGAGGAACTAGGGCAATCCAATTATAACCACAAATGCCATTGGCTTTCTTGAATTCTTACTCAAATAACTGTGGACTCTCTGCTCTATTAAGGTGGTCTGGACTATATGGAGAAAGTGGAATTTGTAGGACTTAAGTAGCATGGAGTAAACAAGATTTGATTTTTAAATACTCTGTCACCTATTTACACATAGGACAAAAAGCCAGTATTTTTCAGGTGGGTAGAAGTTGGCCAACCCCTTTTGCCTGCCTTGATATTATGGAATCTATTTTATATTTCTTTTTTTAGAAATTGTTACAAGATATTCTAAAAGGAAGCTACACAGGAAAAATAGCTAAGAAGTTTCCTATCATTTTAATCTTGTTTGAGCATTGAATATTCCTTTGTTCCTGAATATTATGTTTCCTCTAACCTACTCAGTGGGTCAGATAAGGAAATGTGATATTTTTCACCACCATGACAAAATTAAACTAAAGCTACAAAGACCGTGAGGGTTGTAGCCTGGAGTCTTAGATGAGTAGTTCAGATCTGGCTTTATATTGAATGCAGAAGGGAACAGTCTCTCATGGATGAATCACATTCAATTAGCTACTTCCTATGATGAACTGATTAAAAATTAAGTGGCATCAAATAAGACTAATTTTGCTCTTACATTTAAATAATTCTATAATTACATACTAATCAGATGGTAAATCTTAATTGTACACGTTCCATATGTTTTATTTGCCTGTTCTCCCTCTTCACTTTGTCGTCTTTGTATCAGCATGGAGTATATTTTCAGGCTGCTTTTATGTTTGCCCTAATTGAATATCAAAAGCAGTATATGTGAAACTTCCTGAATTCTATTCTTTTGCCAGTGGCAGCTGTGCTATTAGATGACCTTTACCATTCCCGTAGCACAGAATAATAAAGGGAGGGGGGGAATTGAAGCCCAGCCATGTTATTGTTAGAGACAGAAATAAATCATATATAATTGCTTCGCGATGAAGGCCAAATCCTGCCGTCCTTCATGCCTGAGTTAGAAATACAGGATTTGGACCTTTGTTTCCTGTGGTTTCCTGACCACCTTGGACGTGCCCAGAATCCTCACGCTGCCGCTGCGGTGGCTAATTACCATCCCCGAGCTCACATTGCATTGAGCTGAACGGCAGCCCCGGCTCCGTCCCTCCTGCACCGGCAGGGAGGCGGCTCTGATGCAGGAAAGCCTTTATGTGAATGTCCACCTTTAAATGCCATTGGCTTCCATAAGATTGCTTTAAAAATTAAGAGAAGCCTTAGATGTTATATTACATGATGGGCTTGCACAGAGTGCTTCTGGTTTGGTTAGCTGTTTGGAACAAGCCTGCAAACTCTTCATTGAGGTAAATGGGTATTTTGACATAATGTGCATGGAGTGTGAACTCTATTCACTCCAGAATGTACTTTATATTTTTGTCTGTTTTTTAATCACAGATCATGAACACAGTCACAAAAAGAACAAGCGGAAACACTGGAGAAGACAATGGGCAGAGAACAGCATGTTGTCTGACGTGGAGATGTTAAAGCACAGCCTGGAAGTGAATTCGTTTTCTGCGGATGGCAACAAGACTGGGAACGTCAGTGAAAAGAAGAGCCACAGAAGAACAAAGCGGTTCCTCTCCTACCCTCGGTTTGTGGAAGTGATGGTGGTGGCTGACAGCAGGATGGTCGCCTATCACGGTGCTAATCTACAGCACTATGTCTTAACGTTAATGTCAATAGTGAGTATTCAACTAGGGGGAGTAAAGTCACCTCTGGATCATTTTTTTAGTGATCACAGAGTCTCCTTTCTGCTGCAGTCTTATGCAATACCATCACTTTGCGTCAGCTGAGCATGGGGATGATGCTGGGATTAGAGTAAAGCTTAGTAAAACTCAGCTGGGGAACACTGGTTGGAGTCTTCTTCTTTCCCAGGCCCATCACATTTCCCAACCCTTCCACACCTCTTCCTCCCAGCTTTCCAAACCCCAGGCAGCATGAGAAGGGTCACTGGCCCTTTAGTCCGCGCGCTGTACTCTTTTTATTTCAGCCCGTGTGAAATAGCAGATGAATTAAAAAGGTGCTGTGGGGACTGTGCCTTCCAAGGGACTGACACTAGTAGGCTATGCAGTTGTCCGACTTCCCTCGCTGTTGCAAGGAGGAGCCTGTGGTCACCTTGATCCTTAGCGCAGTGCTAGGGTTGGCTCTCCAGGCTGAGGAAAAACGTTTTAGTAGCTACTGGTATTAGGATGTGATAATGCGTTTCCCAGACAGGCAGCTCTGTAGATGCCCAGTGACGGGAAATGAGTATTCAGCATAGCTGTGTCACTGGGGATTTTTTTTGTCCTATGAAAGGGTAGAAGTGCAGTGAATATGTGGTCTAAAGCGTCCATGCCAAAATGAGGCACTTGAGAGGATAAGTTGCTTTTGACAGTCTTGGTCGGTGGTCATTGTATCTCAGAGCAGAATGATGCTGTAATTTGGTGAAATGTGTGCTAAAACAAAAGGAAATGTTCGGTTTCTGCAATACCAGCAGGTTTGTTTCATTCTAAGATTGTGCTTCTGGCAGGAGGTCTCCCAAGCATCATCTGAGCATTGAGTGGGGCAGAAGAGCAGCTCAGGAGAAACAGTTGCAAAATGGAAAACATGCATGTGTTGCCTTGATTTTTTTTTTTTCTTCAATGTTAGCAATAGTTTTGAATATTTGTTTTTGAAACAGGTGGCGTCTATCTACAAAGACCCAAGCATTGGAAATTTAATTAATATCGTGATTGTGAAATTGGTCGTGATACATAATGAACAGGTAATGGAAGTGCTTTTCTTCTCCCTCTGTTTGATACTGGCATTTGTAGTGAGCATTGTGATGAATAATTTAAATGCCTGATTTATCTGTGTTGCTTGTTAGGATGGTCCTGCAATCTCTTACAATGCTCAGACAACATTAAAAAACTTCTGCCAATGGCAGCAATCCCAGAACCACCCTGAAGGCAGTCACCTTCGACATGACACAGCCGTGCTTGTTACCAGGTATGTTGAATATTCTCATGAACACTGTAGCCGGTTGTGTGTCAGAGGCTGTGAGCATGTAATATATGCAGCTACGGGCAACGTTTGGGGTTTGATGTGGGTGTGATGACATTTGCAATTGTGGGAGCAGTGCAGCTGTGAGCAGAATTGGGATGACATTTCTACCATAGCAATAGATGACTTTGAGAGGTTCAGGACTGTCCGAGGTCTGCCCGTGGGTTCACCATAAGGAGAAACTCTCTGGCTGTGGTAGGGAGTTGGTTCAGACCCCGACTGGACAGTGTGGCCAGCCAGCATGAGAACGTCTCGTGGACGACCAAGAATTGCTTTTGGATGTTGTTATTATTGTGCTTGTACCTTAACTCACTGCTGCATTGAAAATTAATGTGTCAGGTCTGTTCTGCTTTCAGACAGGATATTTGTAGAGCGCACGACAAATGTGATACTCTGGGTAAGGAAAACCTTTTCTTTGTCTTTTAATAACTTTTTTTGTAGTGACAACATTAGTTGCCTGTGCTGAACCATGGGCAATGTTCATTTTTCTATCACAAACCTCTTTGTTCTCTCCTAGGTCTGGCAGAACTGGGCACAGTCTGTGACCCCTACAGGAGCTGTTCAATTAGTGAAGATAACGGACTGAGCACTGCTTTCACAATAGCACATGAACTTGGCCATGTGTATGTTTTATGTAAATATATTTACATTTAAATAGCCCAAGATTTATGCTAGCTTGCCAGCCAGGCTAGGGCTTGGTACCTGCTGAGCCTAATTATTGAGAGGAGATGTACCACTGAGGTTAAGATGAAGCTGTGGTGTGACTCTGGGAGGTGGTGAGGTGCCCTGGAGCCTATCTGAGAGCAGCAAAACGAGCAGACCCACATTTTGGGGAGGATGAGTGACAGGGTACCCTAAGCAAAGGAGGAAAGCTAACAAAATGTCCCTTCTTACTGCATCTTCTCACATCTGCATGCTGACATCAGCAGGATCTGCCCTGGCAGCCGTGATGTCTCAGCCAAGCCATGGGGACCAGCCGGGCTTTTGGCCAGGGAGGTGCTGGGTGCCCTGGGGAGGACCAGGGCACACCTCACCTGGTCTTTGGGACTGAAGTCTCCTCCAAGAGCAGGTCCTCTGCCTGCCCCAGCTCGTCCAAGTGCCACGTGCGTTGCTGCTGAAGGCAGCACAGCAGCTGTGTGCGAAGGGAGGGATTTACCCAGTGCATCTGGCAGGTGGTGGGGATGCATCAGTGAGCCTGACCGATCATGGGGACACCCCCAGAAGAGATGCTGGCATTCAAGACGCACTTCCTCCAATGGAAAATTCTTTTAACTGATTTTGAGGGGTTTTTTCGGGGCAGTAGTGAGAAAAATCATCTTAGATTACATAGTCCTTTACTCACCAGCTACAACTCAGTCCCAAGCCACCTCACGCCTGGTCTGCAGTGGAGGTCTGTAGGTGTGGGATGGATGAGTGGTTGGGAACAGATCTCTCATTGTTTGAAATGCCCTTTTTCTACGTAGAGAGCTGGCTGACTGAGACGGTCTATTTTTAACCACACCAGTATTTGTTTAAATGAGATTTCCTGACAGAAAGTCCCTGAAGGTTTGGTGTTCCCCACACCTAACCTGTGGCTAATTCCTTTGCTAATGCTGCCTGAGAGCTGCCAGAGGGGTTGGAGGCGATGCCAGGCAGGAAATGCCTCTTCGGTTTTTTACAGGGAGCAGAGTGAAAAGGTGGTTCATTGGAGGTAATCTTAATGGGATCTAAACTCCCCAGCCTTCGAACGCAGGATCACACCGGGTCACTTCCCCTTCTCCACTTCAAACAGCAAAGCGCTTTAAGCCTGTTCTGTCCCGTTAGCATATTTGCCGCATTCTTCAATATGTCACGTGCTGCAAACGTTGCGTGGGTTTCTGCTGGGATTGATGCTTGATGGCATTTTGTAAACCTACCACATAAAGTATAGAAGCCAAGTCCATCCTCAGTGCAGCCCTGCTTAGGCAACAGCCTGAAGGATGAGTGTGGCCCAGGGTTTTCAATGGCATTAGAAGACGTTTTGGATCCAGTGTAGGGCAGCATTGGTCGGTGGACTCAGGTCATTTGTCTCCTTCAGAAACTTGGCCCTTTTGGTCAATTCCAGAGAACTTGTCATTTTTATGAGGGTGGGGCTGGACTCCAGCCTTGTGTGCAGGATTGCAACCACCAGCTGAAAAGGAAACTGCAGCTGAAATTGCATCTTACTCCAGGCTCCCTCAAGGACTTGTCCTGCTAAATATCAACAGACCCAGTGTGGGGAGCTTAGTGGGGTGCTGTTGCGTAGCTTTTTGCAGATAAGTTCTAGGAAACCAGTTTGAGCAATTCTTGTTGACACTTAGAATATGTGCATATTAATGCTTTCATTCTGTAATATCTGTCAGTAGCACATCTAGGAAAAATTCCTGGGTTTGCTTACATTTAGTTCACACTGTTGCTCTTGCTATGCTAAATACTTGAAGTTTGTCACTTAACTGACTGTACTTTTTGCTGCTGTGTTTCTCTTAGATTTAACATGCCACACGATGACAATCATAAATGCAAAGAAGATGGAGGTAAAAATCAACAGCATGTCATGGCGCCAACACTGAACTTCTACACCAATCCCTGGATGTGGTCAAAATGCAGTAGGAAATATATCACTGAATTTCTGGAGTAAGGCCTTACATGTGCATGCATTAAGCTGTTTTTACATGTGTGTGCGTTGTGTGGGGTTCATCAGTTAATCTGGAGTCCTAGTGTGCAGCATTTGAAGGAAATCAGAGGGATTTGTGTGTGCTCACATCCTTTACATAGAGCAGGAAT